AGTAGTGAGTACTGACGGCGTGTCTGAGCGCGGTGGCGGCGTCCCCGGTGTAGGCGAGGTCGCGGCCGGCGGCGGCGAGATGGCGCGTCCGCGCGGCCAGTCGCGCGGCCAGGCCGGCGGCCGGCAGCCCGCGCCGCGCCTCGCACAGCACCACGTACGACACCACGTTCGTACACATCAGCGCCGTCGCCTGCGCCGCGTCTGGAACATGTAGTACGTGTTCGTTCATTCGTTCATTGACGAATTTCAGTATTCACAAATTTTTGGTACAAAAGCGTAAGTCTATTGCTTATCTAATTATATGACAATAGTAAGCATAGCAGATGAGATCGTATGTATTTAAAAACACTAGGTAAATGCAATATAGCGCCTTCTAACCATAAAAAATTCGTTTCTCAAATTGGTTTGCGATATTCATATTTAAATGTTGACTGCTCCTACATCATACAATTGGAAACCCATTGTGCCTTACTCAGATGTACGATCCGGCAGACAAATGTGTTAACAGCAAGTTTATCATTTAAGAATATTTCATGAGAAATCACGTTTCTTCAACTTGAGCACTAAACAATAATCTTCAACATATTCATATATAAAAACTATACCAACTAACTTCTTTCAAAAATCGATAAAAATATAACGCAAACTAATATTACAATTAATTAAGTATTAACAAACAAACATGCAATAATTCACATTTATAATATTAATAGGATTACTATGTTTTACAACTATCGTGAGACATATGCCGGAATACTGAAACGCTTCTCAATTTTAAGTCGTGCTCAAATATCGTGCCATCTCTGTCATTAGAGATAGAACTATACTTAAGCACGACTTAAAATTGAGTAGCGTTTCAGTATTCCGACAATAGTGAATTAGCCTACGTAGGCTGCGCGATATCACCACGTCCGAGCATGTTACTCACGAGGAAGAGTCCCTGTGTGATTCGAAATTAGTAGAGCTTTTATCAGTATATTTACGTGAGTAGCTTGTAATTTTAAGTTCATTCCAGTAGGATTACTCACCATATACTAAATGCCTGCCAATAGCCTCGACCATCATCTTATGGTCGGTGCTAACGTCAGCTCCATATAAACTGGAATGACTGTGGTTGTACAGGATCTGTCTGTCGAGGTTTACTGCCAAGTTGTTGTTGGGAGGGGTTAAGCAGGTCTCAATTGGAGCCTTGTAATGCTGGTACTTCTGGAATGATGTTACTAGCTCCTGGAAATTAATGTTTAATTATTAATTAAGGGCTTTTGTTCTCCCTACTGTTTTAATAGGGGCTTGTCCAATCACAGTAGCTGTCAAATATTGATATTGAACGTCTAATGGCGTGAAACTAGCTAATTCCCTATTGGACGAAGAACGAGAGAAGCACACTAGCGACATCTGGTGAGCAAAAATGCGGAAGGCCCCGGTTTTCTTGTGATTAATTTGATTTATAAAAATATAGGATAATTGCTTATAGGCTATGCTACAAGTTGTTGGCAAATTACTGTTCAGACTGTAGATGTAAAATTATAAAGTAAATTGCTTTCGTAATAAAATGAAAAAAAAAAAAGCTAAGTTACTTACGTAAAAATCAGACATCTATAAAATATACTATACTATACTCACACACAAATAAAATAAATGAAAGCAAAATAATATTACCTTCAAAGAAATAGGTTGATTGAAATCCACTCTGATGCTTCCGTGGTTGGTGTTCAGCGTTCTCCAGATACCCCTGAGAGCAGACCAGAACGTCTCCATTTGTTTGGGCATGCCCAGTTGTTCGCGTACGAAGTTACCATCGACTAGTTTGTCATAGTTCAACGTGGCAGGCACTAGGAGGGCATCGTCTATGGTCCCGTCTAGATACGCGTCCATTATCACTGATAGAATGCCCGCTGTGGAAATACATTGTTAAATAAGTAAAATTATGTTTAGGCAAAGGTATGACTGCCTCATTGCCGGGCACGGGTTCGATTCCCGGGTTGGGCAACTAATACTAGATTTTATAAAAAAAATCTTATTAGTAGCACGGAGTCGGGAATTGTGTCCGGTTTATGGCTATAGGCTCACCCCTATTACATGGGACTCATAAGATAAAATATTGAAAAGTGGTTGTTACATTGTACAGTGGCATTAAGTGCTGTAATGTGCACCTCTGCCTACCCTTGCTGGGATAAAAGGCGTGCTGTTATGTTTGTTTTATGTTATATATAAGTTGCGCAACAACACATTGCAGTTGCGCTAGGTTTAGCGCAAGTTGCGCATACTAAGCTTTGTTTGCAATATAGCTGTGCAGTCTAACTGCAACGAAAATATAAAATACGTTTCTGATTAGCTTTATATTAGGTACCATTTTCTATCATATGAGGAAAATACATTAAAAAGTAAATGAAACGCTCATAAAACATACCTTCTGCACGTTCCAAGTAAGCGTAAACATCAAATTGAACTTTAGTACTGATACATTTAGGTCCGAATTCACTTGAACTAATTAACAATAATAATAAATATATTTACCTTTAGGAGTCTGAGGTTTGCCAGTTCGAGTACGACCTCCTTCGATGAAGAATTCCAGGTTGTTACCAGCTGACAAACTATTCAGAATGTATGCCCTGCAATCAACATTACATAATATTATGTAAAAAGTATAAACTACGACTGCCTCGTTGGCCAAGTGGTCGCAAGTGCCACTGCCGGGCAAGTGGTTTCAGGTTCAATTCCCGGGTCGAGCAAAGTATTATTGCGTATTTTAAAATTTTCTCAGTAGTAGAACGGAGTCTGGAATTGTGCCCGGTATATGGCAATAGGCCCACTCCCTATTACATGGGACTCATAACATAAATAGTGAAAAGTGGGTGTTACATTGTACAGTGGTATAATGTGCATCTCTGCCTACCCCTTCGGGGATAAAAGGCGTGATGTTATGTTATGTTATGTTTATAGTTTATGCTTACCTAAGAGCTGATTTGTAAGTGGGGTCCCCATGATACTCTGAACCTTCCACCCTTCGTCTGATGTAGAACGCACCGCAACCTCGTAGGAACCATCTGCAATAAATAAATACAAGATCTTTTAGATGAGCCCAAAACTCTATGAGATTCACACCACGATGTTAGGTAATAGAATGTTAAGAATATTTTAGTAGTAATAGATAATTGTCACGTGGGAAAGTCATGCTGTGGCTCGAATGGCCTTTCTTGACCGAAGTGATACCATGGCCTTACACGTGTCGTAGAACAACGTTTATGTAAGACAAAGGTTACCGGAGCCGTGGAGGTCAAATCCCCGCCCCATCTATCCTATCCCCTATCTCCAAAAAGTAGGTAACCCACCTTATCTAATTGCGAGTGTCGATTGCTTACTTGCGACAAGTGATCTGCGACAAGTTATTTAAGGACTTTTCTGTTTTGTTTTGTTATGTTTTTTGTTTTTTTTTTCTTTTTATAATTATTTGAAATGTATAACGCCTTGGTTTTATGACTGTAATGTTATGCTATTAAATTGAAATAAATAAATAAATAAATCTGCCGGCTATTTTGCCAACCTAGCACATAAAAATATGTTTGTGAAGCGGTTGCTAGGCTGCCGCGCAACGTGTAGCGGGTTCGATTCCTGCACGGAACAATTCTTTGTGTGATCGACAGATTGTTGTTTCGGGTCTGGGCGTCATTTGTATGTGTACTTGTGTATTTGTAAACGCACCCACGACACAGGAGGCCATCCTAGTGTGGGGCAACTTTCTTTTATTTTTAAAAAAAGGTACAAGATACCTCCATTATATATTTGATTACAAAACTTACCCAAAGAATGGGATCCTCATGTTATCACCAGCAGCAACTAGCGGAGGCCTCAGTCCAGTAAGGTACAGTGTAAACGTCATGAGTATGTAGTCGAAGTGAGATCTATGGAGAGGTACGAAGACTACTGGCAGGCCGGCAGCGTTGGCCCGACGGAGACGTTCCACTCCGGCGACACGAGTGCCGCATCCACCGCCCGCTACTCTTCGTACAGCTTTGTGACACACCCAGGCTACGAATCTGTGGATGCGTGAATTTTAAATTTAAGTAAACATGTTGAAATAGACTAAATTTAATGGTTTAAATTTTTTTCATATTTGAAAAGTTTCAATAAAATGTGATTGGATATTAAAAATTACAAAATTTTTAATGGAAAGATGTCCACGATTTTTTTTATTACAGCCTTAACTTTGACACGTATTTTGTAATTATGAGTTAAACCTATTCCGGCTATTAAGTATAAAAAACTATAAAAAATCACACATACAGTTCAGATTCAAACAAAAACCACCTTTAAAACGATTGTAATAAAGTCGCAACTCACTTGAGCACATTATTGGACATGGCGGAACTGATGTCCTGCACTACTTTTAGGGCGCGAGCTTCCACCCGCTTCCGTATGGTGGCGTACGAAGCGCCACTCTGGCCGTTCTCTTTGGCCTTCGCCAATTCTTCTTGTGTAGCCTCTTCTATTGCCTGTTCTACACTCTCGTCTTTAACAACCTGGACAAAAAATATTTTATGCTTTGAGAAAATAATTCACAGCTATTTGAAAGTAAGAAAAACAGTTTATTTGCACCGTAAACAGAAAAGTACAAAAAAATAACTAAAATATAAACTAAAGTCGTCATAGCGGCGCAAAAAGGCGAGTGTTCACACTGGTTACGCCCGAATCTATTGTGCAAAAAATTATACGGCCTGAAGAATTAAAGCTACATGTGCGCGGAGTCAAAAAAAAAATACTGTAAGGCTACTCAATTTTAAGTTTTACTTAATTATCGTGCCATCTCTCTCATTTTAAAAAGAACTTGTAGTGGTAGCACTACATATATTTACGCGCGACTCACCAAAATTGTGTGGTGTGTATTTCAGAGTTGTCCATTTAATTAAATCAAAAACCATTAACGGTTTTATTCATTCATTAAATTAAATAATATCAACGGTTCATGAAAAACATATATTACGGTACTCACATTAGGAACAACATCCTTATAGTCGTATGCGCAAAGGTTGCAGCATTGTGCCAAGTCACAGAGGTAGCGGGAGACCACGCCTCCGTTCGCGAAGTTCTGCCGTCCGATGTCCAGGATGTTGATCACGGCACCCGTGTCTCTTACTTTGTGGTCCTGCCATGATTCCTGTAGACAAGGAAATATATAATTTGTAATGATTGATTATTATTTTGTCTTATCTAAATTACACACAACTGAAAGCAGTTATATTTTATGTAGAATCACTACATATTATAAACAAAGTAACTATCCGCCGTCTGTCTGTCCCTGTGTATCCTTAGATCTTTAAAAATAACCAACGGATTTTGATGCGGTTTTTATAAATAGATAGAGTGATTCTGAAGGTTATTGATATGTATAATATATGAATATTGCACCCGTGCGAAGCCGGGGCGGATCGCTAGTAGATAGTATAAATATTGGTACCATCCAGCTGGTTTGGTAATGCATCAGCCGATGGACCCTGGCTACCTACTTGTAAACATATCGACTTATTAGATATATCCATTTCTCCTGACGATAAATACATTTTGATTCAAAGGTATTATTAGTTTTTTTTTTAACACTATTGGAACTAACAAAGTTTATGGTCCGTTTGATGGTAAGTGGTTACCGTAGCCGTCCAGTAAAGCCTTCAGTTTTTCTTTTAGTCACATGTAGGATGATTAGGTAAAACAGGAATTATTGACTATGTCGAATTGTCGACACGTGGTCTGAACAATTAAACTGGTGCTATCCAACAGACATTATTTGTACAATTGTTTAATATCAGTATTAATGAACAGAACACGTACCCACTGTAGCATATTTGGAGCGCAAAATATTATTGAATTATTTTATAATATGTGCAGTTCAGTTCAACATATTATCAGACATAATGATGTTTAAAAGTTTTTTTTAAAAAAAGTCGGGGAAGGCTGACGAAAACATAAACAGATGTGAAACAACATATTTCGTCGAATTTCCGATGACATTGTAGATTTGATCAAAATCAGACCACAATATAGTATCGAACGAGTATTAGTAACACAAAACCATTAGATTAGATAACATTCTTAATATTTTTATAGACTAGCTCTACACGTGGTTTTATTTACGTAGGTAGATACTTTATACCCAGTAGTCTTAGCGAAGTTTAATATCGCGTTTACCTCACAGATTTGAAAAAAATGTGAAAGTGACAAGATAGGGCCAAATTAAACGTATCTTTAACCGACGACCATGCAGATATTGATGAAGCGAAAGAGGTACCTATGTAGGAATCTTACCAATTGGCGTTCCATAGTTATGTACTTATGTGAAAAGATTGCTAATCCCCAATCAGTATTTTAAACAAACTAATTAATAAATACCTGTACGTAAAAATAAAATGAGACGTTATAACTTGTCAGTCCCTTTTCTCGTTTCTCAGCATATAAATACAACACTCAATTATTATGACAAATGGTAAATTAATGTAATATAATATTTGTACGCCGTGTTGGTGGCAAGACATAGCTGGTCAATGTAAAGCTTGTAACATCTTTTGTTACCTGTGTTCTATAAATAAAGTAATTTAAATTTTAATTGTAATTAGTCCATTGAAATGTTACATGAGCTATGCATTGTAGAGGACGCATTTTTCTTTTTGGTACATGTGTGGGGGGTCAATTGAAGCTTGCAAGTTTGTGGGGTCGCCATTCGCCACACTTGTCTCTCGGCCACCATCTGCTACCCTGTTTATCATGGTGCCGTTTTATATGATCTATCCATAGATTTAACAACCTGTTAATACTTGGTTTTGTTACTAATGAAAGAGATGAACAATACAAATAAGGAATTACATTTACGAGAGCAAAAGATCAGGAAAAATGGGCAAACGATTTTTTCACCATTAACTTTAGAATTTCTAAACCTGTTTATCTAAAACGAACTACTTAATTTATCAGCATCATTCACATACTATATCTACGTGTGTAAGTAACATTAATATTGGCATAAAAATACACGTATGACTACGTCTGTCTTTCTCTAAGTAAGCAACTAAGGCATGAGGGCGAATACTAAAAATATCGCAGAAACGTGTCGATTAACAGGGTCAACAACCTGTCCTTGATCGACAGAATATAATTATAAGTAATCGATTTTATGTCGTTTCGCGTAATAATGTAGTTATGGAAAATTTAAAAGCTATTTTTTTTATTAATATTTTGATTTATTAATGCGGTATGGAGAACAATTCTCAAAGACAAGTAGACACAAGTTATTTGGGTGAATTTTTTAGTTTTCAATAATTAGGATTTTTTTAAGGGTGGAAAATCATCGAATGACTGCTCCCGCCTGGGTGAGGCGGGAGGGAGTGTCAGACACTTACTGACTAAAAACCACCCCGTTCCTTCTCCTGCGCTTCGAGCCGGAGCCCCGGTAACCCGTAAGGTTCTCCGCGACAATAATTAGGATAGAGAATATTGACAGCAAAAACTAATCAGAAAACTAGAACAAGAAATTGATTTTTAAAACGGTGTGGAGGTGAAAGGTGCAGTTCAATATGTCAGTATATTTTTCCTTTTCTTTCATTAACCTACATTCACCTGACTAAATAAAACCACAACAAAAAAACGAATTAACAAAATCGGTTCAGTCATTCCCGAGTTTAGTGCTTAACAACGCATTTTACTTATGATTTTCATTGTAATATATTGAAAATTATGTAATCAATACATAAACACAGTATCATTTTGCTGAATAAATACACATAAATATGAAGACAACACATTTTGAAATGTAAATAATTGAATAAAACGTGTTACATCATAGGTAATATACAATACAAGTCAATGTCATGAACAGAATCGTACGATATTATGTGTGAAAAAGCATACCTAGTGTCGTAACGTATGCTAATATTGAAATAGACAGTTTAAACATTCATAGCTGAGGAGACGATATGACATTGACATGTGTTTTGCGGAAAATTTATTCGGTACTAGCTTCTGCCCGCGACTTCGCACGCGTAATCCCATTTTCTCCCGTTTCACGTACTCACAAACTTCCGCATTTATAATATTACTAGCGACCCGCCCCGGCTTCGCACGGGTGCAATATGTATATACATACAAACCTTCCTTAAGAATCACTCTATCTATTAAAAAAAACCGCATCAAAATCCGTTGCGTAGTTTTAAACATCTAAGCATACGTACGGACATACAGCGAAAGCGACTTTGTTTTATACTATGTATTGATAGTAAGGAGTAAGATATTTATTGTACATATTGGTGATATTAGTAATTGCGGCGTCTTACTACGACTAAGAAACATCCATAATTAGGTATTTTCCTTAATAAAAAAATAAATTATTTCGACTGTTCAATAAAATTAATTATTAAAAAATAGTCACACTTTTAATAATTGATTTCATGACCAACTTAATTTTAGTATTCTTCCAGCAGATTTTTAAGAAATAAGTATGCTGTTAGACGCTAAAAAAACGTGACGTCACAATACACAATCTCGTACAAAATTCATAGAAAACTGTCGTTTTTGACAGTTCGAAAAAAGTATTGAATTTGAATGGTTGGCAAATACCCAATTATGTATATCGTATATGAATATAAAAGCCTATCAATAAGTAAAATAACAGGAAATTATTAAAGTGCAAATCCTTATGATTGGACTTGGAAATTAAGTTTCTGACAAGGTAATTCGTCATGCTAGCTGCTAGCCCACAACTTCATTCGTGTGAGAATTATTGTCGTCGAAATCGTGAATTTTCCTAGACAAAAACATCTAAACACACTGTTATTTGATATACTATAACTACATGTAGTCTCTGTACGAATTTTTATCCGAAACTTTACTGTATTTACGGCTTGATTCGAGTTATAAACATCAAAACACTCACAATAGCCATAATATCAGAGAAATATCTAGATAAATATTATTGTGGAAGATGAAGTCGTAGGGAAACGTAAATAGTTTATCGCGTGGTATAAATATAAATACGAGTAGAGTGCGAGACAAGTCAAAGTTACACGTGTTTAGAGAAATGCGTGTGTATAAATAACACTCCATGATTTTCTTCGAAGGAGAAAAGCTGATAACTGTCGCCATTATTTCGGGTTACGGAGCCAACGAGAAGTCGGATCACCTGAGGGCTTAGTACGAATTTTCATTTCCATCAGAATTTTCCATTTTTAAATTTTAAAAAAGATTAAAAGTGGGTCACGGTTTTTTATTAGTTTCTTTCTTGTTAGCACAACATTACTTCTGGAAGATTGACCGATCTCTTTAATTCCAATTTTAAATAACTTGTTCTTTTCCTAACAATTTTGTTTATAAACAGAACTTATCACATGAACTTGAGTATTTTATTTTATATGAAACATTCATCAGGTGCGCATGCACTTACAATGGAATAGCTAAATGATATTCCATTGTGTAGTGTTCTTCGAGAGGCAAATATGTCATTTATTTTATCGGATAAACAGATAAGGTTTTCAAAGACGCGGAATTTTCAAATAATCGAATACAAGGCGTCTTCATTGAGTATCGATAATGCATCGATTGTTTAATCGTATCGGAGGGAGAGGTCGACGCACTAGCCGCGCGGGCGCCGCGCGCCGGTTGGCCGCGGCAGTGTCACGCCACTCGCGTCCGCCGCTTTGTGTTTAAATTTGGAATATAAAGCGGCCATTTTAAAGAGGCGATTGATCAACGATGAATGAATGAACATTGTTAGCTAGTTGCCATACTTCTGTTATCTGTTACTTTTATGTAAGGTATTCGGTCATCTGTTAGTAGAAGAATATCAAAGGTTATCTTAGTTGTCCAACATCTTGCGATGACTCAACTGTTATTCATTATTTATGAGGAAGCCAATAGCAACAGGTACACAACGGTATTAAAAATGCAAGTAGTAACGATGATAACCACATTATAATACACGTGCCTTTGAGATGTTGATTGTTTTTAATTCCGAAGAAATATGATGAAATATTTTAGTAATATTGCTAAAAAAATGAAGAACATCTCGATAGAAGACGGAGCTGGTATAATTTGCATGTGTAAATATGTAACACGATTATTGTGCGTTTTATCCATAACATCATTGTTGGGAGATGCATCTCATACTTTATTTAACATAGT